CTACACGGCGAGGCGCAAATACTCCCTGTAAAGGAGCACAATATAATGCTCTGCAAGCAGTTCCTGATCGCGAGCCACAGAAGTGGCCACCCAAGCAGACAGCTGCTTGCAGAGGAGCCCTCGCCTAGGCACGTCAGGAGGCATCTATATGAACTGACGGACGAAGACCAGAGGTTCATTAAGCAACCTCTGGACCCGACAGCTTACCGACGGCATTCACAGGGACTCAGTCTCGAGTTATGTAGACTCTAGACCTGTGAATGCCGTTCTAGGCATACCACCCCCGGACATAGACGAGACGGAGCTTCATCTGCCTCGGGAGACACGCACAACACTCGCACAACTTCGCTCCGGNAATGAGTGTCCGGCATGCGGAGAGACCCCACATGACTCGAAACACCTCTTCGCATGCCCGGAAAACCCGACAACCCTAACGGCCCTGTCCCTGTGGACAAACCCCACAGAAGCTGCACGCTTCCTAGGGTTGCCGTTAGTGGAACTTGACGACAACGACTGAGATACCAACCGTCCTGGGCGGGGTTGTTGTAGCCGCTACAACAACATACTATATTTTATTAAAACAAAATGTCGAAATCAGCTTCATATAGAAACAGTGTCATCGTTAATTAAGAAAGAGATGTTCTTAAATATCATAACTTTACGACACTCACATATTGACTAGATTTGACTATTTATTTTATTATATTTTAATTTGAATTATTTGTTTATAAAAATAAAGTTTATTCCTTAACAAACACTAAATGAAAATAAGTTTAATCTTTGAACAACATTAAAAAAAATCGACAAACTTTCGTAAAAATTTCGAACTTTCTATTTCAATTGTATCTCTTAATATTTTGCAGTTTTTTAGCTCATTTAATTTGAGACTAATAAAGTGCAAATTTAAAGCAGCTGTGATTTACAGTTGATGTTCGGCATATTTTTGACGATGTCGGTAATTTTCTTCCATATTATCTAAGTATGTTCGACGATTTTTTTAATGAAGAAAATGAGCAACGCCTTCCCCAAAAAAAAAAAAAAATATTAAAAACCAACGATAAGTCGCAGCTATGTATTTTAAACTTGCGCTTTATTTGAATTGATCGGGCTCCAAACTGCATACTCAAAATATATATTTATAGGAAATCTAATCAAAAAGCTTTACGAAAGTTTGTTGATTTTTTTAATGTTGCGCAAAGATTAAACCTTGGATTTATACGGGTTTTTTATTAATTAAAGTGTGGACTGCATTTTTATAAACAAATAATTAAAATTATATAATTTTAAGATAAATGGCCAATCTAGTTAACATGTATAAAGTTTTGATAAGCACTTGAAATGTCAAGTTTTAGTACTGAATTCAAAGAAGGTGTCTCTTTTATCCATTCATAATAACTTAAAAAATTTGTTGTTAAGAAGTGTATCTTAAAATATCTGCCTTGACATTTAGGAATCTATGTATGCATGCATATGAGCAAATTAAAAAGTCGATACAATTTACAGTCGAAAAGTACAGTTTTTGTATAGATTTCGTACTGAAGGAACAATTTTATTTCCCAACACTGTGGGGAACTAACCAAAATGGCCTAGTGTATTTCGCAAATATTCAAATAAATAATCATTAGAACCCTGCATGCGACATTAATTTCTAGCATTTACACGACTTAGTCGAATGTGAATGTACTGCTCATTCTATTTACACAAGCTAGTGTGCAACGTGGTGAATATTGACAGCGAAATAAGAGAAGAATAAGAATACTCTCTTATCTCTTTCTTGACTGAATACTGAAATCTTCTACCGACGCTCACTTACGCTCACCGATCGGCCATGGCCAGTCATGAGTGAACGAGCAAGCTAATAAATGTTACGAATGTGGTGAATGTTGCGCAGGCAGTCATGTGGCCAGCGATGCCTGTTGGTCCAGCAGGCACTTGGCAATAATTTTGTTATTTTCACTGATGCACAAATGCTACGCTTTCAGACTTGTTAAATTTAGATATGGGTGTTTCCAGCGGAAGGTCCACCACGACAAGAAAAATAAAAGTTTTATATCTAACGTATTTACGGGCCGATTTGTCTGCTTTTTAAAATATATACTGGCTATGTAAGTAAAATCATGTTTGCATAAAATGGTCTTCCTAGGTGGTGACAAGGTCGAGATATTTCGAAAAACCGTATTTATGGTCCGATTTGGTTCGAATTTGGCGTATGTGGTTGAAACATAATAAATCATAGATTTCCAATAAATTGACCCTGAATTGGCGCTGAAGTCAAAATATAAAGTATATTCTACATAAAATACATGTTTTATTTGCGTTAAAAATTCATTTAAAAGCAATATTAACAAAAATATAACGATGGAAATTTATGTCACGTGACGCCACGTCACGTCACGTTTCACACTTGGGGTTGTAAAAGAGAATTGAAACAATTTGCATTCATTCAAAAAACTCTAAAAACAACTAGAACTGTTCCAAATCATATTAAAATAAGTTTCATAAAAATAGCCATCCACAATTCGCAGAGTTTTGCGATTTTGCAAGAAAAGAAAAAATCAGCTTCCATTTTTTGTCACGTAACGAACCTCTCTTTAAATGCTTCTATTTCAGGACCAAGCAGTTCGATTGATTTAATTTTTCGGTTAAATATAGAGCTAATTACGTGCTATACAATGGCCCAAAAAAGTTAAAGAAAACAAATGGTATTCCTTTTTTGTATCACATTGAAATCGTACGACTGTCACGTGCGCCACCATGGGAATGCCCATATGTATGTACATATATGCATAATGATTAGTAGATGGTTTTTATATTTTTTTTGTAATGAGACATGGATAAGAAAAATGTTTCTACCTACATACATCCATACGTACATATGAATGTACCTTAGACTATGCTCAAAATTTTACATATATGGCACCGTCAGCAAAAAAAACATCAAAAATCTACACGGACTTTAAGAAATTTAAAATTTGCACATTATTATACTAAAATTATAACGTAACGTAACGTATAAATTTCGTACAAAGTTTGAAGCTTGGATTTATATGGTGTTTGTTAAAACCTAAGCCACGTTTTAATACAAAATTAACAAAAAATATTTAATATGAAAAACATTGCGAATATTATAAAAAAATCCCCTTATACTCAATTTGGTTAGTAAGGGCGTGTCCTTAAAGATTTCCTCTAGAGAATTAGGCATTGTCAAGGAGAGGATACCTTCCCTCTAGTAAACCACAACTAGTGCGTACAAGTTTGAAGAATGCAGTAGCACTAATACTTCTATAATACACACAACAGCCTCTTTGGATTTTTTTCACTTGCCGATTTTTACATACACCTTTTTTTAATATTCGCGAATTTCGTACACACATACATATGTATTAAATGTATATACGCAACGCCAGAATGGCATTGCATGCAACTGCGTTTATGCAAGTTCACAAAAATACAAGCATATTTAAGCTACTAAAGGGTCAGCTTAGCAGGTATGTAGGTTAAGACCGGGAGATATATGAGGCATATGAAAGAGGCAAACAAAATGAAAGAATTTGGGCTTTCCAAATTATTGATTAGAGGTTACCCGCGTCAACCCTAACTCTCAATGTACGTTTTATCGTTTTGAATTGCATGCAACAAGTGTCTATTTCATTACCAGCTGAATAATATCTACAGAGTGATCGTGTAAAAACGTTGCAAAGGACGCAGAAGATGTAAGTACATACATCAAAAAAATCACTTTCCAAATTTTTTAAAAGTATAATTTTGTTTAAGTTGATAGTGTTATAAATAAGCATATTTTTATATTCTTATAGAATTTAATGATGGCTTCCTCAGCTAGCAACGATCCGAATACATCCAGAATTGAACTTAGTAATTCAGATATAAAGACTAAAATTATTCAGAACGAATTTAAAATCAGTGATAAAATTGGAAAAAGTAAAGTCTGGGAGGTTTTTGGTAAAGTGGAGAAAAATAACGGAGAGGAAATCGAAAATGTTGTAGCATGTAGAAAATGCATAAATGTGTACAAGTTCTCAAGAATAGCACATCAAATTTAGTGAAGCATAAGTGCTATTTGATATCAAGATGTAACGATAGTACTTTGGCGGCAAAAATAGACGTCGACGTTGAGACAAAAAAAGCCGGAATACGAATTCTGTTGTCGATCATTTAAAATTGTGGAAGACCCCGGATTGGCGAGATTTTCAGAATTTCTAATAGCAACCGGTGCAAAATATGGCCAACATATAGATGTAAGCAAGTTACTACCCCATCCAACAACCATCGTGCGAAATGTCGGTAAAATATACAATGTATATTTCGAAAAAATACGAGAAGAAATTCAATCGGTAAAAAACGTGGGATTTGGACTCACTTCCGACATATGGACAGATGATTGTTTAAGGACATCATATTTATGTTTGACGATTCACTTTTGCAGAAATGGGCAATTGATCACTCATCTTTTGGGAATGAAATCAATGGAAGGCGCAAAATGCACAGGTAGTTAAACTCAAAACCAAAACTCTCAAAATTATTATTATTATTATTTACACTTATTATTATTATTATTATTATTATTATTATTATTATTATTATTATTTACACTTATTATTATTATTATTATTATTTTTATTTAGTTGCTGATCAAGATATTTTGTATTTTATTTTTAAAGGTGGAAACATTACAACAAAGGTTGAGAAACTCTTGGATGAATTTGATTGCACACCCGGCGACCAGGCCATTGTTGTCACTGACAGAGGCTCAAACATGGTGGCAGCATTTCGCACCTACAACCACATAAACTGCATAAACCACTTACTGCACAATATACTAGTTAAATTGTTTAATAAATCGGGCATAAATTGTCCTCATTAAGATCCTCTTTAAAAAGCTTTTTATGCACACGCTGGAACACTATTTATTATAGGTCAAACCGAACCGAGTCTTCTACTTCCGTTTCGGCTTACAATTCGCAAATTTTTATGGACTTTTTACAACCTCGAACCTTCGAAGAAAAAATCAACAATGAGATACGCATATCGTTGGCTTAGTTCGCAAACGTGCTAAGTCCACTTTTTATGTAAATTGAGATTTTGATGCAGTAAGATAGCATAACTGAAAATACATCATTACCAAAAAAGAAAATTACCGTAATGTCGTTTTTACTTGTTTTTATGCATTGGTACGCAAATGTGCTAAGTCCAAAAAAATCCAAAAAATATATATACACATCTGTCCGTGTACACGATAACTCGAGATATCTCAACGAAATTTGGTATGTAGGTTGCCCTTTATCCAAGGTAAGTTGGTATTAAAAATGGGCGAATCGGAATGTAACCACGCCCATTTCCGATATAAAGGTATTTTCTAAAAATGCAAAAACTACGATATTTCAGTAAATATTGGATGCAAATTGTTCAAAATTAGTATGTGAAGTAGAATTTTTGTAAAAAATATTATTATTATTTTTGGAAAATGGGCGTGACCCCGCCCACCTATTATGAAAGGCTGTATCTCAGTAGCCCATTCACCAAACTCGGTACGAGCCTTATTTAGGGTCTAGCTAAGAAATCTGTTAAAAATCTAATTCACTTAAAATCGATGATCGCGATAACCACTCAGAAGAACATAAGATTATGATACATTTTTGGATAATGGGCATGGCGCCGCCCACTTATGACCACAAATGTGTAACTCGGTAACCGATTTATCAATTTCTACCAAACTCGGTGCACTTAATAAACCTGGTACGGAAAAGCAATTCGTTGAAAATTATTCAAATCGGACCAAAATTACATTCGCTTCCCGTATATCTAACGGTAAATTTCAAAAATACGGAAACTGATATTTCAATAACTGAAGACGCTAATTTACTTCAAGTTAATACTTACAACAATCTCTTAACAATAAATAAGACTGCGTGACACCGCCCACTTTATGACTACAAGGTGTATTTCGGTAGCCACTTTAGCGATTTCCACTAAACGTGGTTCAATTATTTTATTGAGTTGAACTCAGGATATTATCGAAAACCTTTGAAATCGGGAAAAAGCCCCTGCTTACGACAGTATTTGATACCTGCGCCGGGTATATAAAGTTCGGTTTCGCCAAAACTTATACCTCTTTACTTGCTTTTAATTATTTTCTTTTATAAATGGTACATAAATTTACGACTTAAAATAGTTATTTTTGTTAATAGCAATGAAATAAAACTGTATAAGGTTATAATTAATTGTAAAACAGTAAAATATATTTAAAACAGCAATTAAATCTTTTAACAATAAAAAATAATGGAAAAAAGGTTGATAGAAAATGTGCTAAGTCCACATTAAAAGAATAAAATCTTAAAGAGAAAATGTGGTAAGTCCTAAAAGAGCCTATAAGTCTGCAACAGCTTTATTTGGAAATTGGCCGATTATTGGTACTAAAACAAGACGAACTAAGGAATAAAACTGCATTTACAGATTAGAAAAATATTGAAAACAAAAAAAGTTAGACGGTTTTTTGTCCCTCCTGAAAAATAAAAAAAAGGACTTAGCACGTTTGCGAACTAGGCACAAATGTAACATTTCATGATGATTTCGATATTCTTCAGTGGTGGCACTTGCATCAAACCCAATTCCTATTATTATACAAAACAAGCTGTAAAATTCTAGCGGTGCCAGCTAGTAGTGCCGCTTCTGAAAGGGTTTTTTCAAAGGCTAGGCTTCTCATATCAGAGAAACGAAGTTTGATCGGTTCAAACCCAGTTAATTCTAATGCTAAGGAAAATGATATTAAAAAAGAGTTGGAACAAGAAACTAATTTTTGATAATAAAATGTTATAGTTATGAAGTATTAAAGTAAATGAGCGATATGTACATACGCACATATGTTATTATCTGAAGTCTGCTTTTATTTTCATTAAGTGTGCATGTAGGAATGAATTAAATTTTAGTTATTGAAAAATTTTGCTTTTCTTATTTACAATGAAATACATATGTAAATATAAGAACGATTTTTATTTATTAAGTAGTTATGGAAAAATCTAATTATTGGTTATTTTCAATAAATTATTAAAAAAAAAAACGTAGTAAAACATACATATTTACATGGCATTCTTTCTAATTCTTTTGCTTCCGTTTATCAAAAAGCAAATATTTTGCTTTGGGACAATAGCAAACATTCGAATATTCACTGTGTCTCACCAGATATTCGCACCAGCGTGTCCAGATTTTTAAAAACAAAGCGCAATTTCTGCAAAAAAAAATCGCCAAAAATCGCCATTTTTTTTTAAATAAAATTCATGAAATCGATTTAACAAATCTTTATTTTAAAAATTAGATCTTGTTATCATATAGTTTTTAAAACCAAAAACTAATATAATACCTTCAGAAGGTAATAATAAATAACACAAATCGCTTATATAATAGTGATGTACAAACAATTTTCTTTACAAATACGCATACTTTTTAAAAATATTTGTTTCAACACATTTTTCAATAGGACTGCGCAATTATTAAATTTATTATTCATATTAATTGATTAATCGCACAATCCGCTTTAAAGAGCTCGGCGCTAAAAATAAAATAAAAACCTATAATAAGGCGAGATCAGCTATTTCCACAATTTCTTCATAATCACCTATAGTGTCTGAATTATTTACATTTCGTTTGTTGTCATATATTGATTTATTCAACCTTGATAATATACTGTTTGGTATTGGAAACGTTTTGCACTATTAGCCTTCATATAAAACTTTATTCGAACTATTGAATTAAGGCTTTCCAACCTCATCCTATTTCGAATCTTAGTTTTTGTTGAATTCATTACGGAAAAAACGCGCTCAACAAAAGCATGTGAGTGCTGCAAGGATAATAATGTGAAGGCTATTTTACTTCCATATATTTCCAAAAATTTTATTGCCTGTGCGTTTTTCACTCCGTAAGCAATTATCCAAAATTCTTCAGAGTCGGATGGAATGGTTCTGAAAAACTTATTCCATGGGAAAGTTAAAAGATTTAAATATTCAGTCTCCGCTGCTTTTCTTTCCGTCAAAGTCAAATAGTGAATTGGCAGGTCCCTGAAACTCGCTCTCTTGTGATTCACACTTTTCTGGTGACAAAATCAAAGCTTTTTGAAAGTATTTAATTGACTAGGTAATCGTTTCAGAAGTTCTTCGATTAGGGTGATAAAAAATATTTGTTGTTGTTGTTGTTGTTGTTGTTGTAGCGGCTACAACAACCCCGCCCAGATCGGCTGATATCTCAGTCGTTGTCGTCGAGTTTCACTAACGGCAGCCCCAAGAAGCGTGCAGCCTCTATGGGGTCGGTCCACGGGGACGTCGCCGTTAGGGTTGTGGGGTTTTCCGGGCATGCGAAGAGATGTTTCGGGTCGTGAGGGGTCTCTCCGCATGCCGGACATTCGTTCGGCACATCCGCATTTAGCCTACTCAGGTAGGAGTTTAGCCTGCTGCAATAGCCAGAGCGAAGTGGGGCCATTGTTGTCCTGGTCTCCCGAGGCAGATGGAGCTCCGTCGCGTCAATGTCCGGTGTTTGTGTGCCTAGAACGGCATTCACAGGTCTTGAGTCTACATAACTCGAGACTGCGTCCCTAAGAATGCCGTTCAGGGTCTGTCTGTGAGCTGACGGGTCCAGAGGCTGCTTAATGAACCTCTGGACTTCGTCCGTCAGTTCATATAGATGCCTCCTGACGTGCCTCTGCGAGGGCTCCTCTCGTCAAATTGGCGCGAAATCGCCAAATCTGGACACTCTGATTCGCACACTCATCGACGGCAGTACAACTCTCTTGTATCTTTTTGCACAACATGTGTCTCTTTATTTTTTGTGCCAAGAAAGCAGTTCTCACTATTCTCTACACACTCATTCATTCACCTTGCTTGCTAAGGGTTGAATGAGCAAACAGTTTGGAGCACAAACGACTGTCTCATAAATGCCAACCACTACATTCATGCAACTGTCTAATATTCATTAAAAGACAATTTGTCATCAGTCTGAAATAAAAAAATTATAAATCGGAAGGGTAAAATAGTATTGTGTTATTAATTCAAAAATAAAAAGTTTCATTTCACTGATTTGATTTTCCCCCAATCCCAACGTTACCAACACACATTTCAAATATGAGTCAAAGTAGAAGATATTAAATAAAACCTCAAATTCAGCGCCACCTGCGTAGATTTTTTAAAAAAATTTATTTTTATTCACGAACATAACAAGAAAAGAATTAGCCAAACCGGCCAAGCTGATCTCAAGTTATGATGTTAGATCTCGTTACCTTAATATAGAAAGGCCCTATTTTACATTTTTGTTTCTTTAAGAGGTGATGAACAGGGCCGAAAAGTTGTAAGTTTTTGCTTGCTTATTTTGCTTATTTCAATGTGTTAAGTGAAGTACGGACCTTTTAAGTTAACGGCCAGGAAATAAATTGCTGTTATTTCGTGTGTGTGAATAGTAGTGTCCAAGGAGTTTTGACGTCTGATATTTTACAGCCTGCTGTCTCACCTTTTCCTTCCGAATTAATGGAAAGGGCATATATTTCTGTTGAAAACAAGGGTACCATGTACTATTTACAAACAAACTTTAGTAAGCCATAGTAGAAAGCGAAGCAAATTCCTGAAGAACTTCGTACTGCTTAAGAAAATTTGGCTTAACAAATTTTTTATGACCATTTTTTTGCGTTATTTTATTTTTGAAATGTTTACAAATAATAACATAAAAACAGAGTCGGTTTTTATTAATCCCGAACAGACATCTGCAGCGGGTACATAATTTTCGTGTATACTCGAGCATGCATCTAACAAAATCCGTTTTGCATCATTCTCTGTAAACGAGCAGAATTATTGTTCGTTAGCGACTGAGCTCAAGACGAACATGTTGGCCACAACAGCCGATTGATTTTCATACATACTTGATTGGGTTCGGGCGCTTTGCGAGTCAATATACCTGGGTGTGCACAAAATTTTCTTGATTGGCTTATGGCGTTTTCGTTTTTACAAAAAAATGTTGTCTTCTTATCGCCCTATTCTTAGTGTTTGT